GCAATAACTAGCAATAATGAGCAGTATTATTCGATTTATCCTGAAAATAATGCATTTTGGAACTTAAGGTATGAAATTTTAGATTATTATTTTATTATATCATATTATATCATATTGTTTTAAAATAACATTCAGGTGTCATTTCGAAACAATACAGTAATAATAAAAATATATTATAAATTATAAAAAAATTTAGAGATTTCAATATATATGAAGCTATCGTATCTGATCAAATGTATGCCTTGGATTTTGGCCTCTTTAAGCATATGCTAAATTTTACAAAAAATCTTTTATCTGACCAATATGGAAGCCAGATTTTTCAAACCTTTGAACAGTGATTAACTTTAATTCCTCAATATCATGGTCTTAAAATAATGAAGAACATATCAGACATGACATGCATGACAGCTAATAAATTACGAAATTTAATGAAAGTAATAATTTTTGCTCTTGATAACCTATATGAGGATTATAGGAGACTGAAAATTAGTAATAAACAATTATGCCAAGTTTATTACAAATTTCTTCAAATGTATATAGCTACCTGTAAAGAATTATTTACTTATGATTCTTATAATCAGCTTTAGGTACAGAACAAGTTGTTATTTTTTGTAAACCTTCGATTACTAATGATTAAATTTATAGATCCTTATTATGGATTGGGTCAAGGAATTTATTAAAGTATTTTTAAAATATTCTAGTTTTCAATTTTCTAAGCTTCATGCTTGGTGCTATCATATAGTACCTGTGATTCAAGAATATAGATCCATAAATAGTATGACTATGAAAACTTATGAGACTCTTTATAAGAGTTATATAAAAGGACCTTATCACATGTCAAATAAAAAAGGCTATATGAAATAAATATTAAGGACAGTAAGTAATATATAATAATATATAGTAAATAATCATTATCTATCATTATCTATCATTAAATACTAGTTAAAAAAAAATTATATTTTAATTAAATAATATCTTATAATATATAGCACAAATCATAATTTAATCATTCAATAATTTATTATTTAGCAATTAAGTTATGACTTGTGCTATATATTACAAGATATTATTTAGTTAAAATATAATTTTTTTTAACCAGTAAATAAATATTATTAAATTATATGACAAAAATTAACTGAAAAGAAAGCACAAAAGAAATATTGCCAAACAAAAAGGTTCGAAAAACTTTTGTGGACATTAAGTTTAGAAGATCTGAATGATTTTCTTAAAAAAGATAAAAATAATCTTGACTTACTACAAGTTGAAGGCTTTCAAAACCTATTATCTGCTCTCAATGAATTTTTTAAAGAGGAACCAATTTTGACTCTTAATAATTTTAATCAAATAGAAATGTTTTTTTCAGCTTCATTAGAAAGTACTAATATAATTCATGTCACATCAAGTTTTCACAGAAAATCTATATTTTCTAACATTATTATAAACAGTTATGAAAATGAAGAAGAAATAAATTAGTACGACTTGGTATATATTTAACATCTATCTAATAATAAAAAATGATTAATATTAATAAGTAAAATAACTCTTGAAATTAGACAATTTTTTTATTTTCATCCAATATCGAGAGTAAATTATAACTAACATAAATATTATTATAAAGGTTCTTCTAATACTCAAATTTTATCAGGCAAATGAAAAACTACTAAAATTCATCTTAGTTCACTAGTATAAGGAAGTTGGTGAATTATGGGGCTTTTCTAAATTGAAGCTACTTGTGCATTGCAGTTGTATATCATTAGATAATATAGATAGAACAGTGCATATAGTTCTGAGATTTAATAAAACAAATAAATATTTAATGAACTGTTTTATGTTCTAATGCTAAATTAAATTCAAAAGTGCTTATTTTAAGTATATGTTACATGTCGATATTTAAGGTGTTCACTTTAAAATATTAGTATGTCTACATTTGTGTATCGATATATTAAGTATATGTTACATATCAATTGGTAATAATAAATTGATTATTATCAATTTAAATAGATTTGATAGTAATCAATTTACATTCAAATTTCGATATATATCAGTTTATCGATATGTATCAATTTTGATATATATCGATATATAACTATATTGTCGATATATATCATTATATTCTAATCAATTAATATTGATTATTTGATATATATTGATTAGTATCTATCTAAAAAATTTTCTAATAATAGAAATAAATATAAAAACTAAACTATTTAAATAGAGAATCTACAGATAGGTTTTAGGTATAACAACTAATATAAAATCTTTGAACAGACTACTTAAAATAAACAATGACTAAAGTTGTATAAGTGACTAGTTGTATACTCTTTTTATAATTGTTTCTGTAATTATTATATACAATAATTATATGTTAACAGATTACCAATAAACTTCTAAGTTACAAGTATTTATCTTAATATTAAAAAATATATATATATTAAGTTTTTTAATCTAATTTAGTTATAAAATTTAATTTAAGAGAATGGTAATCCTAATGTAGTAGTTAGGTTATTATCTTTTAAATAGCAGATCTAAGATTCAAATCCTATCTATAATGAAATTTAAAAATTAATATATATTATAAAAACTGTTTTCTGTCAATTAGTTGTTATCATATGGCTGTAATTCAAATATATCAAGTTGGGTCTTACTCATTATTGAGAGTTCGAGACATCTATATGAAGTGTAATATTATACATATATAAAGAAATATTAATAACCAGTATTGTATAAGATTTTGGTACAAACTTATAATAAGACTATCAGATATAAAAAACTAAGAAACCAAGAAGACAAAATCCTATTTGAAAATTTCTAAATAAAAAGATAACACAAATTTTCGATGATACTGTTAGACTAATAGAAGCTTATAAAACACTTTTATAGAAACAAACAGATAAATCAGATAACAAAAATGTATAAAAGAGCATATAACCAATCAGACTACTAGAATTACTAAAAGAAAATGATACTAAGATATATTATACTGGATCATCTGAATTAGAAATTTGTGAAGTTTATTAGTTCTAAGTTGCAGCTAGTAGAAAGTGATAAAAAAGATATCAGAAAGATAAGTACTGGAGTTTAGGTGAACTTTACAAAAATAGAAATAGTATAATATAGCATTTAAGGTTAGTTTTGATTGCAAGTGTTAGATAACTATAGCATGTTATATAAAACTAAATTAGTTGTATGTGGAACATGAAAAGCTTTAGTAACAATGATTTTAAGAATACATTGCATGAAATAAGATATAGGGTTCTAAGAATACAGATAAGCATCTAGATCTTCTTGACTAATATATGTATTAGAAATGATCTAGTAATACACTAAGAATTGAAGTACAGAGAATTTAAAAGACAATGTTCCTAATTGGGTTGCAGATATGACAGCTAGTATAAAACTATCAACAGATTATTTAAATTAGACACCAAAAATATATATGTAGCTAGTTGTATTTTTTAATGTAAAAGTGACTTTCTTAAAGCTTCAACTATAAGTTTCTATATTTAATTACTAAATAAAAAACCTTAACCTCAAAGAGACTAGTTTAATATTAAAAAAAAAAATTTAATTTAAAAAAAAGACATAATAATATAATAAAGTAATTATGTTGTTATTTTCTAAATAGCAGAATCTAAAGTTTAAATTTTAGTATATATTAATAAAATTTTAAAAATCTTTTTATATTATAGCTAATTGTCTTTTATTATTGATTAAAATAAAATATCTGTTACTTGTATTATACTAATATGACTAAAAGATTATATAATATTTATATAACATATTATTGTATAAGAAATACAAACTAATATTATGCAGTATAAACCTATAATAAGTTTTTATAAATGTGTAAATTATAAGAATTAAAAAAATATAAATTTACTTAAGAGACTTAAATAAAAAAATTATTTAAACTTTTAACAATAATATTATAAAAATTAGACTTATTAAAAAAAAAATTGCAATTAGTTAGGCTGTTAATATTTTTTAAAGAAAAAAATTTTATATTAAAAAATATATAAATTAAAGATATAATTGTACTTATTTTTTTTGAACTATTATACTAAAAATTTGAAAAACTTAAATTAAATATAAAATAATAAGAATATATTATAAACTAAGTATCAAATTTTATAATAATATAATAATAATAACCTTACTATTAATATTAAAAAAAAAAAGAATATAATAATTTAATAATAAATTTTAATTGCAAGTATTAGTTTTAATCATAACATTATCAAATTAACTATAAGAATAAGATACAGAAACTTTCAAAAAGTTTAGTACAAAATTAAAGATTTTTTATATAAATGAACTGTCTTAAAAACTTAGTAATCATGATATATTTTTATCAATATCAATTAAGATCATTGCTAGTTATAAGTAGGTGAGTAAATATAAGAACTAGAATGTTTAAATAGAGAACTTACAAGCAGGTTCCAGGTATAACAACTAATGTAAAATCTTCAAACAGACTACTTAAATTAGACAATAACTAAAGTTGTATAAGTAACTAGTTGTACACTCTTTTCATAATTGCTCTCTGTGATTGTAATACAACCATTAGCTATTAATAATACCCTGGATCGCAAGTACTCACCTTAATATTTAAAAAAAAAAAATTTAATTAAGAGAAGTTCACAATTAAAGAGTATAAAATACAATGAACATTTTACTATAACTTTCATATAGTGATATAAGAAAAAAATACTTTTCATTGTAATGAATTAGCATTCCACTACTATAATAAGTTCCAACAACGATACTTAGTAATGATTATGCGAACTACCTCTTAATTAATTTTGCATGATCTTAGTTTACTTAATATAATTTTTCATAAATAGAAGTGAAACCCACGCTGTAAATTAGTAAAACCCGATACGTAGATCTACGTTAGGATGAAATCCGCGTTTAGCTATTGCTATGTTTTTTTTATTATGATGTGATCTGCGTTTTAAAATAAAAATCGGTCAACTTTGCATCTGAATTTTTTTACAACTATGTCACGTAATTCAAAACATCAGGAGCAGCGTCAGGCGTTACGCGACATAACCAATAAAACACCACAGCTTAAGACAGTTATCACGGCTCAGCAGGCGAGAACACCGTTAGGGGACATAACTAATAAAACACCACGGCTTAAGACAGTCAGGCTTAATAAAGATGGATATAGTGACACACCAGCAGTTACAAAGCAACCAAACAATTCAAAAGGCACGAAAAACACATTAAAAAATAAAGTTGAAACTAGAACAGTCGACCTTAATGAAATAAAATTGGAAGAAAGAAATAAAATTAAGCATATAGAAAAAGAAATCGATGAACTAAAAGAGGAAGACGACGTTCCCGAAATAGAATATTGTCCATCGCCAATTAAAGGTTTGTTTTTAAGAATTATAGGGTTAGGAAACGGGATTGTTTTTTTTTCATGTATTAAAACCGATTAAAAACCGGGTTAATAAAATGAAAATAAAAACGGGACCAAATCCTAGTAGGGAAAAGTATATAAACGAAAATTGATAAATTTCATTTTAAAAGAACTACCGTACGAACCATTGGATGAAGACCTTAAATTTGGTTGGGAAGCATTACGACACCCGTCCAGTATTACTACGTACGAGTTTGAAAATATAAAATATGATGAACTACCATTTCCAGAGATTGAACCAGATGATTATCGGACCAGGAAGGTCATTGATGATTATGGTAAGTACAAAAAATCTTTACGCGTTCACTAATATAATATAATAATATAATAATATAATATAAACGGCTAATTTACAAACGGGTTTAAAGAACTGTACGGATTTGATAAAGTCATATTCACCGATTATGAACTAGGAGATGAAAGTACCAATGAATATGAGACTTTTCAATTTAAAAGAGCCATAATTAGTCGTAAATAAATCAAATTAAAATAAATTGAAGAATTTTAAATATGTATTACTATTGATTAAGAGAGCATTGCACAAAAATTTAAAAGAAAACTTTGTAAAAAAAAATTAGTAAGATCGAGATTGCAATTAATCGATAACGCCATTCACATGTTCATCATCATCATCAAAGTTATTTTCCTGAATTGTTTCACCGGTTTTAGAACTCAGGAGCATAGCCACATCATAATGTTCTTCTTCAAATGCAACTTGGGCAGGCTATAATCATGAATTGAATAATCAAAATAAGAGATAAAAATTTTTTATACGTATTTAAAAAAGAAAACGTACAGATTTGCCAACCGAATTAGTGGAGAATGGATCAGCGCCTAGATCAAGCAACTTTTGAGCCATTTCAACAGTTTCCACCAGATGCAAAGCTGTGTCGCCATCATGATCAGGAAGATTTATGTCGGCACCCTGAGACAAGAGGAATTCAACGAGTTCGATGTGATTATAAGAAGTAGCAGCAGCTAATGGCGTGTAACCATTCTGATCTTGAATATTTGGGGATATTCCGGTAGATAAGAGTACCTTTTACAAGTGTAAAGGGGAATATTGAGAAATAAATATTTAAAATTGATGGATTAATTAATACCTTGACGCGCTCTATATCACCATCACCTTTTAAAATAAAAATGGTTAGAATTTGAGTTTAAAAAAAGATGGAAACTTTTTGTTAATGGCAAAGTATTTTACCAGCGGCAACCCATATGTTATTATCACCAGTCATGGTTGTCCAATATACTTGTACGTATAGAGTACAGTATGATCGAAATTTTTTTTTCAATTAAAATTTACTATGTATGTCGATATACATTCAAAATCGATGGTCACGTGAAACATGATTATTGTTAACTATTATCGTTATTCTATGATTATTATTGTACTGATTGTAACGATAACTACAGGCAGTACAGTATATACATGATAATTGTTGTGGCCTCTTGGTAATGGATACAAATATAATCCTTTTGTCACAAAGATTTTGTCACAAAGATTTTTACTAAAGACCAGGATTCTTGTGATAAAGAAAAAAACATTACATTGTTTGAACCTTATTTGTTATACGTACGTATTATTGATACGCAATTATTTTTATTTAAAATAATCAAAATAATCCAGTTATATATTTAAAAGTTGAAATGTACAAATATAACGATAATAAGAATGAATACGTAACATCGTTAATAAATTTTAAAAAAAGGATTTTATAATTTTTCGCCTATATCGATATATCGATATATCGATATATCGATATCTGATATACGATGTATCGCCACTTATAAGATCATGTGTAACCTTTAAATCAAAATAATAATAAAAATGCGTTAGTTTAAGGTTAGGGTTAGCATTAGACTAGAGTTAGACGTGGTTTTAGGAAATAGAGTTTTTAACCTAAAATTTTACAAGGAATTTTTTTAATTAGAACGTAAGAGGTGGTTTCATATGCAAAATCTTGAGTTACAGACGATTATTCGAAAAAGACAATGTTTTGCTTCGATTTCACGTTACACCTGATCTTGCATTCTAATTGGTCGATCAGGGGTAGCGATACATCGCTATTGCGATAAATTATAATACCCTTAAAAAATTTAATTTATTTATTAAATTTAATAAATTAAAAATTTTGACAAGCATTATGACACATAATAAAACAATGAAATATGAATAACAAATCAGAATTTTTTTAAAAAGTTCCTTGTTAATGTCAAAAAGTATTTCTGCAATCGATAAGATAATATCTAAAAAAGGACGAAACATTTCTAATTAGACGTTTGTGGAATATATTTTTGTCTTTAGCAATGAAGAGTTGTGTATTTTTATGTAGTTTAGTGTAACTTTGTATGGTTTGTGAGAATTTTTTCATTCTTTTTGTAAGACAAAATTATTTATTGTGTTCAACCGAAACTATAAGGAGTTAAAAAAGATATTATTAGTATATATACTACATACATTAAAAAAATAATTTTATTAAAAAAAAAAATTTTTTTTTTTTTTTTTAAATAGAAGCCGGAGCAAATAGCGATAACACATGTAGGAATGTTGAAGCGCTTTCGGGTGATACGCACCAAAAAGGGAAATATGAATCTATGCGGTTGTATGGGGACACTCTTTTCCCAATGAGGAGTATCAGTGGTACTATGCTGCAAAAGAATGTATTACTTGGAAGCTCCATCTGGAACAGTGAGCGCACATTCAAGTGGCACTAAGAAACGAAATTGGAAAAAAAAGATGTTGAGCAATCGTAACAAGTACATATCTACTGGCCATACAAAAAGTAACGTTCTTGATTGTCATATAATAAGTTTAATTGGTTAAAAAAGAATTTAATGAAAATTTATTAATACTCGTGATTTGATATATCAAAAAAGATACTTTAAACAAGAAATGTTGGTACGGTAAATAAGTAACCCTGAATCACAAAGAAGCTCATTTTAGTGCAACACCGCGAAACTCATTCCTGCTTTCTCCGCATTCGTTTAGCATCTGCGAGTCTATCAGTTATTATTGCATTATATGTCATTCGATATATCAGGCTTGTTTTAATTATGCTAAGTTTTAATTAATATCTGATATATCTATCATAATTATTGATCGTATCAGTTGGTGAGTTTAGAAATAAAGTTACAAATCATACGAAATCATACAAATCAACAATTACGTTTTATTTTTTTTGTGAAAAAAAAAAAAAAATCTTGATAATTTTGATAATTATAAATCATAAAAATAATATAATAAATTAAATAAATTAAATAAATTAATAAATTATATATAGTTATTTATAGTAAAAAAGTTATATAAAGTAAATTATAAAGTAGTAGATATGTAAATTAGATAAGTTATATAGTAAATATTATATAAGTTATACAGTAAATTATATAAGAAATATATATACTGTATATAGTAATTTATATGAGTTACAGTATACAAAATACAAAATAGTATATAAATAAATTGTAATAGTAAATTGTAATAGCAAATTGTAGATGAAAAGATTACAGTTTTAAAATAATGTTTATTCTAACGATATAAAAAGCATCTTTTTTGAGTGATTTTGGTTAGTAAGTTTAGTTGTATCACAAATTCTTATCAGGAGAAATGAAGGACATTTCCGGTAATTCGCGCAACCAGTCACAAACTACATGTAATAGATAACGGATTTAGAATGAATAGCATGGTGCAACCTTATTTATAAAACGAAACAATAAGAATACAAAAGGATTGAGTGTCCGCTTACTCCGAGTCGATGCAACGTTCGTGTGGCGGTGTTACTTGATGATGAAAGCGGCATATGTGTGCTGGGAAGTGAAATTTTTAGAGTATATTTAATAATGGCATCATGAGTGTTACAATCTAATGTAAAAAAGTAGTTGGATATTCGTTAAACTATTCTAAAAACTGTTGTTTGTATTTTATTCAGGAAATATGTTGATATTTAAAGCAGTGAATACAAAGACAGGGCTACAAATGGGCAAATGTGCATAAAAACAGCCTTTTTTCTTATTTTAATTCATGATAAATTTTGTATTGTTGAGTTTTCAAAGGGCGCTACTTTTTCATCCGGGTTCCCAGTCAACTTCCTAGACTTTTCCGGTTTGCTTACTTGATTTCTACTGTGTGTGAACATAATGATCAATTCGTGATCAATTCTTACACTGTTAACGTTACACCTAATATTGAATAATTGATACGCACTATTGGTATGACTAACAGACCCTTTGGCTGGATTTGGGATTATAAAAATCAAAGACATCCTTTTACGTCCAATTTGTTTCCCCCTTGCCCCTTTTTTGTTCAAGCCAGCTGTTTGGCACTTTTAATTTTTTTATTTCTCTCAAATTTGTTCTTTTAATTTTCTCTACTCGCTTTTAGTGTTTCTTCACCATACTGAAGCTTGTGACTTGGGAAAATCTTTAAGCTTTTCAAGAAAAAAAAAAAAAAAAAAATAAGGTATCTTCTTGCCATAATTTTCTTTATTGTTTCCATTGATAGTTTTTTTTTTCACTGGTCGAAATTGGTTCAAATGTTCGGATTGGTGAAAAAAAAAAGGGTACGCGTTTGCGCTTCCAATTCAGACCATCAATCATTTCTTTGTATGAATGCGACCGATGCATTCCTAATTCTTCCTCCATATCCTTTCCTTCGCTCAATTCTCTCCCTTTACTTAATCTCCTAAATCATTTTCCACGTCATCATCTCGCATCGTGATGAACCAATCGTTCTCTAATGATTCTTCAATTCCACGCATACATATTTTTTTCTTCTCTTGGTATCCAATAGTCCTTTTATCCCTGCATCCTTACTCTACTATATATGATTTCAAGAATATCTTTTTAGCATCAATTTTCTTTTTTTTTTTTTTTTTTTGATATATGGTCTATATTGATGGCGCAGTGTTTCATGCAGATTATTTACTATCTCGGCTGTAAATTCTCATTTATTATGCTTATGCTATCACGTGATATACAATCGATTAGTCTATTTATACTCACCTGTTCTGTTTATTTCCTTTTTTTTCCACAACCTTTTTTTTTCACGCATATAGACTACCTTAAAAAAAAAAAATATTATACTCGGGTTAAACTAAAATATTCTGAATACGCGTCACAAACATGAGCGGTCTATCAAGTCCTACTTCTCAACGAAAGCAAAGTAATGCTTCAGGTCACAGTGTTGACCTATCCGAACAATCACCTAAAGGTTCTAAACGGGATTACGAAGAAGATGATGAAGGAGATGATAGTGAAATTGAAACTGGAAAAAGTGAAAAAAGAGCTGGTCGACGTAAAATAAAAATTGAATATATCGATGATAAAAGCAGACGTCATATTACCTTTAGTAAACGAAAAGCAGGAATAATGAAAAAGGTTCGTTAAATTAACATGCTTTCATTGAAAATTTCGTTTGCATAAATAGAAATTTATCATTTAAAGTTGCATGTGTCAACCTTTGCCATATTTGTCAACGAAGCCAGTTCTATCCAAAAGTGGTGTGTAAACAATGAACATCATCCTTAAATCTAACACTAATTTAAATTTATATGCAGGCGTACGAACTTAGTACTTTGACAGGCACTCAAGTTCTACTTTTGGTGGTATCAGAAACCGGTCTTGTATACACCTTTACAACCCCAAAACTTCAACCGCTCGTTACCAAACCAGAAGGAAAGAATTTGATTCAAGCTTGTTTGAATGCTCCTGATGCACCATCAGCTCAAGATCCAACTTCTACGGTTAGCATACATAATATATATATATTCTAAGTGTATGATAATTATGAATGTATATCACTCATACTATCATAAATCATTTATATATATATAATCATATATACCATCATTTATATATATATCATCATATATATCATCATATATCATCATATATATCATCATATATCATCATATATATCATCATATATCATCATTTATATATATCATCATACACATCATCATTTATATATATCATCATATACATCTTACTCATCTCGTTCATCCTACTCTCATCTTGTTTGTAGCAACGATCTGCACAAAACACCTCTGTATACGGAAATGATCAATCAGTTTCCGTAGATAATAACAGCAATGATGTTGATTATGACCGGAAGGTAAGAAGCCAAACATATGTACATAAGCCATCTTAAATTTTTGTCTTTGATTTACCTTATTTGATCTTATTTGATCTTATCCAATTTTATTCAATCTTACTCAATCTTATCCAACTTTATTCAATCTTTATTTATTTATATTAGCCACAAGCTACTGGTCAAATGCCACAAACTCAACAACAATCTTATACGCCGGCTGCTCTTGGTCTACAATATAGCCAGTATGGTGGATTATCAAATAACATGGCCCTTGGTGCTACTGGAGGAATCGCTCCTCCATATATGAATACAGCTAACAGTTATCCTCAATATAATCAACAGCATTTGGCTCAATATGCTCAAAATAATTACATGCAATCTGCTGCCTATTGGAACCAAACAGCCGGAGGAAACAACGCTGCAAGTGGCAAGGTGCAGTATCCTACTCAATCATCTGAAAAGAAATAAATGGACGACTTTACCTTTCATAATATGATGAGTAGAGTGTTCGCACCCAAAGTTTCCTGTGATGGCTCGACCTTTTTTCTATCCTTATTTCTTGTGAAATATGGATCTGTATAGCTTCAATTGATTTATGTATAATTTTCTTTCAATTTATTTTTTGTATCTTTTAAAGGTCGTTTAACCAATTTCATTTGAGATGTTAATTGGATTTCGAGTGACCGTCACGTGGTTTTGGATTTCTGAACTGCTGAAAGAGGACCAGTGTTAATTATTAATAGTTAATAAATTAGTGATGACTATTAGCCGTATGAATTTAAGAAGAGAATCTAAAGTCACGGATCGATGACGCAAAAAGTATATTTACATTTTCTTTTTTCTTCTATAAATGCTATAGTATTAGTCTTCTTTTTTTTCTTTTTTTTCTTTGATTTCTTTTTTTCAAACAGATGATGAACGCTATATAATAATTAATGGCTTCATTATAGTATATATATATATATAGTACATAATACCTTTTTTTTTTTTTTTGTTTTTTTATAACCTTTTTTCTTTTTTGAAAAAAATTTTGGATCAATTTTTTTTTATTATTTTAGTCGTAGTTGAGGAAAAAATGTTTCTTGTTGAATCAGGAATCAATTTATATATATTATTATAGTTTTGTAGCGGTATTTTAGAAAAAGAATTTTTTTGAAGTTGAATAGTTGAATAGTTAAAAATTTTGCGTATATATGTATACATATCTATATATATACGTGCACACACATATTTCATAAATAAATATATAAAATTTTTTTTCTTAAAACATTTAAATTATTTAAACAATTATTTGAAATGTTTGTTTAATATTTTAATTAATATATATATCGATATATCTTGTTTAAATAAATATTTCATGTTTAAATATTTATTTAAATAGAATTACATCCTACATTAAATCAAGTATTTTTTCATACAAGAGTCAATTTATTAATTTCAATCTGGTAGTGATTTACAAAAATTAGAGTTTCATTCATTATCAAGTACCGGTTCTTTTTAGGTTCATTTAAGTTGGTTATTTGTGTATGTACGGTACGTTACCTAGTTTAGATGACTCTTGAAGTAATTTGTAGATTATACGTCTATCTAATCGTAAAAGTAACTCTCATAAACGCCACATTTAAAAAACATAAGAGGTAATGATAAGTTTTTTTTTAAGCAAACAAATTATTTATTTTTTGTTTAAAAATCGCATAATTGGTCGAAATTTTCAATTGTTTTAAATCATTATGGAAGATAATATTATACGTATATATATTATATATATCAGATATATATACGTATTTATGAAATAATTAAAGAAAGATTTTATTTATTTATTTTTTTTAATTGCATGTTAATATATATATATATATATAATTCTTATATTTTTGACAAAAAATTATCATTCAATTTACTCTTGGAATAAAAAACCTATAAATAATTTTTACATATATATCGATATATATTTTGTAATTTCTTAAACGGAATTTACAAAGTGCACACGTGATCGGCAGTTATAATCATAAATGTAGAAATTTCCCACCCCACGCATAACAAGCAGTTCTGTCATTTATTTTAATTCGTTTTAGATTTTTTTAAAGTTTCGGGGAATCTAAATACATCTAATTGAACCCAATTTTAGCAAGGAACAGATCGTTATCAAATTAGGTATATAAATATAAATGAAAGTAGAAATTCAATCGTAATTCAGTTTTTTTTTTTTTTTTTTTAAAAAAAAAAATGCATAAATATGCGTCGTTCATTATTTTCTTTTCAGTTACAAATTCTTCGACCAAGAGGATTTTCAATAATGTCTCACTCTTCGTCCGCAATCCTTGGTACCTTTAAAGTACCTGAAATATATAATGAACCCATGGTATACTTTGAAATCTACCTTTATTTCAAATTCCATAAAAAATACATATAAATTAATACTTTTTTTTTTTTTACAGAGAAGTTACCCTCCAGGTAGTGAAGATCGTGCTAATCTTAAAGCTGCACTAAACGAATTTAAAAACACTGCCCCGATCGAAATTCCTGTTTACGTGAATGGTGAAGAGGTACGGTTTTTTCTGTCACACGCGTACACACACACGCACGTACACGTTACTAGAGATTGTACCCGTCAAAAAAAATTTCTACCCGGGTATTATTAAATTATCCGGTTATCCGGGTAATTCATACTAAAAATTTCTGCTCGAGTACGATCTCTAACGTAAACATGCATAAATAAATAAATAATCAATTAATTATATATATCTATATTATTGCTTTTTTTTTTTGTTAGATTCGTACTGGTCGAATCGTTGAACAAAGAATTCCTTCTGAACATGAAAAAATATTAGCGAAATATCATGAGGCTGATTCATCAATTGTTGAAAAAGCTATTAAAGGTGCTTTGGCCGTTAAACCTATTTGGGAAACTTATCCATTTAATGATAGAATTGCCATCTTTTTAAAGGCTGCTGATTTGGCCGCTGGAAAATATAGATATAAACTTTTGGCTGCCACAATGCTTGGACAGGGCAAAAATACTTGGTATATTTTTTTACTATGAATTCTTAAATTAGTTAGATAATTATTATGATTAATAAATAATTGATTACAGTTTATATATATATCTAATATATCTATATTTATATTTAATATATAGGCAAGCAGAAATTGATGCTGCTGCTGAATTGATAGATTTCTGGAGATTCAATTGTAAATATGCACACGAAATCTATCAACAGCAACCACCAAAAAACGCACCTGGAGTTTGGAATCGTGTAGAGTATCGTCCATTGGAAGGTTTCGTATATGCTATCTCTCCATTCAACTTTACTGCAATTGGTGGTAATCTTCCAAGTGCTCCCGCTTTAATGGGTAATGTTATTCTTTGGAAACCTTCTCCAAATGCCGCTCTTTCGAATTGGATTATTATGGAAATTTTGAGAGAAGCAGGTCTTCCTGATGGTGTTATCCAATTCATTCCTGGTCCTGCTCAAGAAATCACTGATCAAATATTGAAATCTCCTGATTTTGCCTCTTTACATTTCACTGGTTCTACTTTTGTATTTAAAAAATTATGGAAAGAGATTGGTAATAATATCGAGATTTATAAATCATATCCAAGAATAGTTGGTGAAACTGGTGGTAAAAATTTCCATGTTATTCATGAGTCGGCCAATTTAAAGAATGCTGTAAACCAAACCATTCGTGGTGCTTTTGAATATCAAGGTCAAAAATGTTCTGCTTGCTCTCGTGCTTACGTTCCAGATTCATTATGGAATGATTTCCGTGAAAATTTGCTCGGTGAAATTTCAAAGGTCAAAGTAGGTCCTATGGATGGTAAGTTATGTTCGTATATACATCAATGCAATATTTTAATTTAATGCTTGTCTTAATGTTTAATATGCTTTTATATGCATCTATCTGTACATGACCAGAATTTAGCAATTTTGTTGGTCCAGTCATGTAAGGTTTTAATATATTCTAATGTATTATATCTAATGTATTATATTCTCGGTTAAGTAATAATTTTTGATCTCATTTCATAGACATGCTGCGTCTTTTGAGAAAATCAAAGGTTACATTGAATGGGCAAAAAATGATGCGGATAGTGAAATTATTGCTGGTGGAACTTATGATAACTCAAAGGGTTATTTTGTGGATCCTACCGTAATTGTTACAAAAAATCCAAAAAGCAAAACCATTTGTGAAGAAATCTTTGGGTAATTTTAATAAATTCTTTTCTTTTCTAGGATTATAATAAATATTGTCAGTTAATCTAATTACTATTTTCATATAATTATACTATAGACCTGTTCTCACAATCTACGTGTAAGTATCTGATATATCATTTTTTTTAAATTTAATTATTTTAATTAATATTTTCCTTAATATTTTAATTTAGATATAAGGCAAGCGAATATGAACAAATACTTGATTTAGCTAATGAAACATCTCCATATGCTTTGACCGGATCAATGTAAGTTAAAATTACTTATAATCCACATATTTTATGTATATTAATATCATAATATTTTACAGTTTTGCCCAAGATCGTGCTGCTATTATACTCGGTGAAAGCAAGTTGAGGCATGCATCTGGTAACTTTTACATTAATGACAAATCCACTGGTGCTATCGTCGGTCAACAACCATTTGGTGGTTCACGTGCATCTGGTACTAATGATAAAGCCGGAAGTCCTGCTTTGGTAATTATTATTAAATTTTCATTTTTATACTGTTATACTTATGAAATCTAACAAATTATTAACTATTAATAATGTGCTTAGTTATATCGATTTACTTCAATGCGCACTATTAAAGAAAACTTTGTCGATATTAACGATTTTAGTTATCCATCGAATTTAATATAATTTTGATTTCATACTACAGTGCATATTGATGTCATGAATTTTAAGTACAAATAACCGGTAGTGATCATCACCGCCTCTATTTTTAGGGTTATGGTACAATTTTAGGGTGAAACAGGGGTCAGATATAAAAGTTCAAAATTTAGTTAAGATTGGGTTTTTTCACCTAGTACGTAGGTTTTTGTGATATTGTCATTACACCTCGGCGATGATCACCACCGGTTATGGTTAGCAAGTATGATTAGCAAGATTCGATGCACATTATTGTTAAAAATAAATAAATTCAAATTTGATTTATTTGGTTGGTTTGAAGGATAAGCTTTATGATTTTAATTAAAACAACTGAAAACAGTAAAATTCTGAAATCCCATTATATGTCTTGACCATTTCCAGTTGGTTGCGAAAATTCCAATTCACTAGGTTTGAGAATACATCCATACATAAATTTTTCCCTATAATATTAAATATAAATATCTTACACAAATATCCAAATTTGTAAAGTTATAAAAAAATTATTTAATATTTAACGATTTTTATCGCAATGTCTTTTCTCCTATGCACATACTGCTTGAATTGGTTAAAACCAAATTGATCTGAATTATTTAGAATGTGATTTCAAACCTTTAATTACACTATACATAAAATGGGAACATGGCATCACGTGACTATTTCCTCTATGCTCTAACTCCAATCCTAATTCTAATGCCAGCCAATGCTGTGCCGATTAGTTTAATGCTGGCCATTTTTGCTGTGCACTAAATCACGTGTATGCTGTGTCCCTTTATTAATAATATATAAATCTTTGTTAAGAAAATTAAGTTAGGAGCTTTCATATATAGAAGGTTACAACTAGCCACATGTGCACTTTTGGTGCCTAATTTAAGTAGTTCACCTATACATTACTATACAGGTTTTATACTAGGTGTCATACCTGCAAGCCAACTACAGGTCTTGTCTATTTAAACCCTCTGCATATGTAATCTGATTTGTGATTATAGGAACATTTTCTGAACTACACTCATTCAAAGTACCTAATGCTTTTGAAACTCTTAGAACTAATTTATTCTTGACAGAAAACTTATTAAAACCTTTTGTGTCTTATATACAGCTAATCTAGTTTTATGCAATACATTATAGTTACCTAGCACTTGCAATCATAGGAGTTATTTATTTAATTATTATATTGCATTATTTCTATTCTTGTAAAGTTTATTAGAACTCCAATACAATGTTTTTACCATTATCTCTTACTAACTGTTATTTAGAACTAACAGAACTTTCTTGATTTTTAATCCAGATAATCTAGTATAATATATATATGTATCTTTTTCTTTTGGTGATTCTAGTAATCTAGTTGGTTATATGTTTCTCTATATATCTTAATATCTGGTTTATCTGTCTATTTTTTTGAAATGTTTTATGAGTTTTCATCAGTCTAACTATATTATCAAAAGTTCATTTTATCTTTTTATTTAAGAATTTTTAAATGAACTTCTGATTCTTCAGTTTCTTAATTTACTGCATCTGATAGTTTTATTATAAGTTTGCATCAAAGTCTTATACAACACTATTTATTAACATTTTACTATATACATATAACATTATACTTTGTATAGAGTACTCAAAAAATCTGTGTCAGGTTTATCAATCATCTATCACATGATTATTTTTGGATACACAAATCTGCAGTCAGAGCTAGTATCTATCGTACTGATGCTTGTATGTGTAACTTTTTATATTTGTGTATGCACTATGTAATTTAAGTTTCAATTAGTTTGTTAATAATTTCTGATCTAATAGAATCTTAATAAATGATTTCTCTAAGAATCAAGCTGATTATAACAAAAAAATGCTGTATGTTTTTAAATTTCATAAGTTTATTATAAGAATCATCACTTTAACAATTTTCAAAAAACATATATAAGCAAATCCAAGATTAAACAACATTATAAACATTTGAACTAATTTTTTTTTAGAGAACCTTTTGTTTTTGGCTATTAAAACTGATAAAATCTAATCAAAAGATCTCTTAAGTTATTATTCTTTTGTTAGATATTAAACAGTCAATTAATGTGTATGTCATTAAAAAGTACCTTGAATTTAAAAAATTATAAATTGAACTCATGTCTAATCGATTACTTTTTTCATTAATTAAATCAACAATAAATCAACCATTGGATACATTTAGTTATACTGATCTCAATATATGATATATCTTACAAACAAAAATCTGATCAGATAATACCCTTTAAATTTTAAGTACAAACAAAATTAATACAGATGATTAGACTATCATTTCTAATTTTTTTTTTTTTTTGATTTATTATTTTTATTTGAAAAAAATAAATGTAGGCATTATCAAATTCGTATGATTTCAAAAAATTTTGAAGCTATTCATGTTACATATAACAACTGCTATACATGTTCCTAAACATATGAATTTTACTTTATCAATATCATTTTAAGAATAAATTTTATAAAATATTATTTATGAATATAGGCTGTATTATCACTTCTGATACATCATATTTTATAAAATAAATTAAAAAGCTTATTAATAATATTAAATCTAATAATTGTTATTTTAAACTATACTTTTAGAATTATATATACTAAAATATTAAGGTTTAAAAATAAATTTATTATATTTTAATTAAATATTTTTTCTTATCAATTTACAAATTTATAAAAAA